GTCATGTTAAATATCTAGTGTCTGACATCATAACATTGATGGGATAATTTAATATTTTGAGACAAATCGTTTAAAACAATATCTATTAATTTTATTTATTGTTTTACTTGTTGTACATTTGCCTTCGACTTGCATTTTAATTAAGATTTGCCATTAGTTCTCTCTTCTCTCTGTCTGCGGTCAGGCGGAACACTGGACCACCTGATTAGGGCACCAGAAAATACGATGAAGGCTTTGTATTTAATTACAAGTTAAGCGAGATATACGATCCGTCGCGCTCGGAGCAGCATTCAGCAGTGACAGCTGCAGCAAATATCCAATATTATTTTTAGTTAGAAGTAGTTCTATTATATGTCATGTCATCTAACTTACCATTGTTGTTGTCGCATAGTTTAGATGAACTTGTAGCGCTTCTTGCAACTCGTGGAAGTTTATCTTTGGTCAATCTGGACGGTCCCAGAGCTGGGGGCCGGCGGGAGGGGGAGGGGTTGAGGGACTGAGCTCACTGGGCAGCGCGGCCGGCGGGGCGGCCGGCGGAGCGGCGTGACGCACTTGTTAATATAAGTGGGTGTTAATTCTGATCTCGAGTACTATGAATCATCTCTACGTAAAAAATAAAAACATGACGCGTTACGTATCCTTTTCATTTCTAGTTCATATTTTTAATAAATGCTACGAGAGTCTTACATTATACAGTAACCGTGGAAGTTGGACAGACACATTATTAATTGTGTAGGTTGAAATCAGACTTTATTCCATACATATGTACGTTTCAATTCACGTTGTAAGAGGCAACAAGATCTAACAAAGTAAAAGCTGGTTAGTATAAGCGAGGAACTGGTCAGTCGGCTTTGCATTAGAGGGCTGGTAGTGTGGGGCGAAGGGCGCGGGGTGCGAGGAGCGGGGCACAGACGGGGTTGTTGGACTGGCGCGCTCGCGGGGCTTCGCGCCAGCCGCCCGGAAGGAATCATATTGAATCCTTGTCGCTACTAATAATTAAACTAGTCATTTGTGCCTTCTAAAGGCGCCTGTGTCATCGCGCACTAATTAACCAAATGTTAAAATATATTAGTTGTATCTATCACAACCAATAGTAAAGCCAAAACTAAATAGATCAAATGAAATCCTCGTTTCGACGTACACGTACACGTATATACATGGGTACAAAATATCGTACAAGGTATATTGTTGGACATGGAGCTGAACACTTCAGTACAGTCTCTTCTCTCGTGCGTGCGCCTTGGAACCAACATTCTTCTTAAAATTAAACAATTGTAAACACTCATGTTTGAAAGGAAACTAGTGTTGCGAAAACAGCGGATGTACATAATATGACTGCGCGTGCCTTATCAAATGTAACTAGTAGAGAAGCTATCAAAAATAATAAAGGCTTTCATGCAATACCTTCTTTATTTAATTAAGGACGTGTTATAAATAACGACCTCGACTTGACCCGGGAAAAACTAGTCAACCTGTAATAAGTATAACAAGTATGGAAAGTAAAAGTGGTTCTCGCCTCAACTAGATTAATTATGTTAGTACACATCGCACGAACAAAGCGGACATCGTTTGCGAGGCAGCGCGAGTGGCCGCCTGACTGCATGTCGTTACGCGGCGCCGCTGGTGCGGGTGCGGGGTGTGCACTATGGAACATCGCGTGGTATCTCGCGTTTGCACCGCTGCCGAAGCGTGTCTTTTACCAAATTTTATTACAATGTTGAGGAACTATTGAACGCTCGGCCCGCTTTCATGATCGAGCAATGTCCCAAGCGAGGCACATCGCACGCCGCAAGCCGCACGCCGCACGCCGCGCCACGCTGGCTAGGTAGCAAAAAGTTGTTTTGATACATTGACTATGAGACGGTAAAAAATACCGATAGCTGAAATAAAAGGAAGATAGTTGATTACAACTCACTAACGAAAATTGAAACACTCCGATCAATGCAAGGTTTCGGATTCATACGATTGTTGCCTTACGTTAACGCGAACGCAACCATATACATACTCGTACAACCACCACCTATGCCGCGATACCTACTAACAATTATGAGAACGTCCGCACGCCCGCGCCGGGCTCACCGCAACCGTCACCTACCGCCAGCGCCAGCGCTACAACACGGACTCGCCGCCCGCAATCACTTCTAATACAATATTCCTTTTACAAGGCTAATAGACTTTAAATATTACTATTACTTCTATTTAAAAATGGTTTCAATGTATTGTGCACTTATCACTATTATGTGTGAACTAACCCTTTCTGGGAAAATCAGTCGTTTCCTCGATAAGTGTAGAGAGGCAAACAAAGAGTAGAGCAACTTACATCACTTTATTTAGCGTAAGATAAGAACTATACGTTTATTCGCAAAAACTTAATACACCTGGGATCTATATTAATAGATAAAAAATCAAGCAAAAAAAGATGAGTACGAGTACAAACCAAAACGCGTTTAACATATGACGAAACCGTCGAATGTGACATGCGCTGGCACAAAAAATACGGTAACCAGATACGTCGTTAGACTTTCGAAAATGTCAACACGCTGGGAAGCGAATGGTGCCCCGCCGCCGCTGTGCTCTAAATAACGAATAAGAAAACGGCAAACGATTAAGGACTCATCAAAAACATGGTTAGTTCCTATCACTAGCTTCATAGCTAGTTTAATGCATTCGTAAGAAAACGTCTTAACCATTCGGGCAATAATAAAATCGCCACTAATAGTGACACGGAGGTGAATGATGTCAATTGCTAATTGTGATGACACGGCGTGCGGAGGTGACGGCCTGCCGTAACGACCAAAGTATCGGCCAACAGGTGTCGGGGTCAAAATCATTAAAAATCGCTTTATTTCGGGCATAGTGTGGATGTCGCAATTTTTGATTACTAGACTAACGCGAATGGGGCCTTCAGCAACACATTACAGAGTAAACCATTACCAAAAGCGATAACTATACTGATTGAGATTTAATATACATACATACATAATGATAAGTGAGTTGTATCGGCCGTGGTGCCGTGCCGCCGCGCGGGCGAACGTTGTCCTAACCCGGTTAGAAAGCGTACCCGAATGAGCCTACACTCTATGGTGTATGTTCTGCTGGCAGGCGACACGCCGTGGCTCTCGTTGTCGCTTCGTCCTCAATTCGCGTAGGTGTAAATTAGCAGAACAGTTGTCGTCTGAGGCTCCGTTTATCCAGTTTAAATAACACCCACACGACGGGGAAGGGTTTTTAGTTATTTTGCCTTTGTCCCTGGCGTGTTTAGGCAGTCAAATATTAAATGAATACTAACACTTTTTATGACCCTACTCTATCATAAATCACACAATTTCTATACTTTTTACTTTTAGTAACATTGATTAGCAAATTTCGCAGACGTACGTTGTAGTGGTAGATAGGTGTGAGTGACGAGTTGCTTGTTGTTTATATTGTTCATCAATATAGCCCGGCCGGCGTTAGGAATGACAACAGCAATTCCAACTATTGCTGTAGTTAACATTGAGATCATGCTGGCGCCTACATAAAGAAGTTATGATGTGAAAATAAAAATTAACTATTTTAAGTGTGGGAATAAAATAGACAATGTCTTTAGATATTTCCTTCACGGGTCATTGAACAAATTGAGTATGCGATTATCAGCTATTTGATGTTTAACGACACGTAAAGGTGTGAAACGCGCGTCACGCCTCCGCGCGCCTCCGCGCGCCGCCGCGCGCCGCAGCCGCCGCCGCAGCCGCCGCCCACCGCCGCGCGGCCACACCACCGGCACTATAACTTGTTGTTCCACTCTAATTCCACTCAGGTTTTATAATCAGTGAAACTCGCATAATAGAGTACAAAAAGTAATGAGAACTAAGACGTCTACTAATGTTATCGAACAGTTTTGCTTCCGTGTGAAACATTCAGCAGAATTTGCCAACAAAACACAACTCAATTTCACAACATTGTACGCATACTTTTAAATCCGGGTTAAAATATTCGCTTAAATACGAGGACTTGCAATATCGCAAGTATACAATTAGTATTGATATTTACTTCTTGCCGCACAAATTAGAAGCTAATCATCCACACGAACTTTATGACCGCGATTCTCGCTGGATATTTTGACAAGACTTCATCGGCGACGCGTACGATATATGAAAGTATCAAAATACTACATTCGCTTATCAATTGTACTTCCCTTATTCGTCTGTTGTCGATCGATTGTAAATTAGAGTGTTGCTATAAAATGATGGAACTTTAAACATTTACAGCAGCATCGATATACAGCAGGTTTGACATCCGCATTGGTGCTGGGCGCAGTCAACGAGTTGAGAAGTCCTTTCGGTCATGTTCCTAGTTTTGTTTCTCTGAGATAACTTTGTCAAATGGCTTATCCACGTGGGCAAAAAGTACACAATTTATCACTCCAATGACAATTTCTAGTGTGAGTATGTCCGCTGCGTTCGGGCAGCATCGTGTGCGCGGAAGACACATTGTACAACTGTGTCGCTTTTTTTGACTTGCAAACAGTTCGCGAAGTTATGGTGACGATCTCATATACGAAGTAGACGTAACTTGAATTTATTATTAAATTATTATGACTACCTATAGTCACAATAAGCGTGCACAAAAAGGATTACATTCAACACATATCGTCTTCAGAACACTGTCTAATTGGCAAATCTCCGCAAAGTAGATGCCCGGCAGCGTTGCGCACACGCACACGCAAGGCGAGGGAGGTGGCCTTTTATGGGGCTGGTTACCTAGTACATTGCAAGAAACAGACATTGAATATGTGAGCTGCTATCGACGACAAGCATTCAACATCGACAAGGGCCATTTCAAATTAACTAACTAAAACTACGAATTCAGAAACTTTTTCATGGTCAATGATAGCTTTTAGTAATCATTATAATAAGCCGGAATCACCGTAACTTTTTTTATCTGTATCACCGGCAATCTCGTCTAATAAACTTTAGGGTGTCGGTTTATACAAACTGTGTGATGAGTGCGAGACTCACCATTTTGGCGAGCATGGTGTCCATCTGTGGTCGGTGTGCGGCGGTGAGGAGCTGGCGGATGCGCGCCGCGTTGGCCACGCACTGCGCCATGCTGCGCTGCAGCGCGGCGGCCTGGCGGAGCAGCGCGGCGGCCAGCGGCACGCCCTCGCCCGCGCCCGCGCCCGCGCCGCGCAGCACCGACTCCAGCACGTGCGCGTGCTGCGACACGTACTGCAGGCAGCGCTGCAGCTCCACCGCCTCGCGCCGCTGCCGCTCTGAGCACACACACCACTTCAAACTCAATAATCTATACTTATATTATAAAGACGAAAGATTTGTATTTTAGAAAGGTAATTTATCTGTGAGTATCAAAGACTATGTTTTTTATTATTTTTAAACGAACGATGTCGCGAGTAACAGCTAGTCATTTATATATTTAATGTGAGTCATTTATATATTTAGTTAAATAAAAGAGCACTTGACAATAGTCCTATATCAAGTTATACACTCAAGTCATATTTGTACCTCCTCTCACAGCTTCACCTTCTCTTTTGTAAAAATAACATTACTTTATAATGCTTAACACAAAAACATAAAATTTAAACCAGTAATATAGTAAAATCAATGTGCTACAGTTGTTGACGACGCCCCGCTGCTCACCGAATGTTGGATCAGCCTTACATTAATTGTGAGGTGGCAGTAATCTACACGAATATAATATATAGGAAAGATTTGTATTTTTATATGTATTGAAATAACTCAACAACTACTAGGCCGATTTTAAACATTCTTTCACTGTTAGAAAGCTAATTTATCTGTGAGTAACATAGGTTATGTTTTATATTATTTTCTTAATTTTAAGTGGGCAAAGTCACCAACAACAGCTATAATAGACCCAGCTAAGAGCACAACACAATACAAATAACAATACAGAAATTTTTGCATAAAATACCACCGACTTAGGCAAAAGTATATATATGTAATACAAAAAAGTATACATGTTCAAACTATTTTTATACATGCATACTTTTATAAAAAAATTATAACTATGAATGTATTACATTTTGAAGTACTATTATGAAAAATTGTGATTGAATTTAAATCATTTTTATTTAAACTTGCTTGAATCAAGCCTGCATCTAACCACAATAACATATAGACAAGCATATAGTTCATATTATATGTTTTCAAAAAGCAATATGAAGAGCCGCCGGTAAACAACGTCAAAGATGTTATCACCATGTCCACACCAGTGGGGTGGTTTTATATTGAAATAAACTAACTTCAGGAATTTATATTTTCTTTACATTTATTTAATGTATTTAAGTAAACAAGCAATTGCTCAGTTAAAATCATTATTACAGACGAGACAGAAAAAAGAAATATTGGTCTAATGAAATTTTCAAATTTGCTACAATTTAAAAACATACCATGAAAATCGTATATTCTCTGAGTTCGTCTCTGATATTTTTCCTCCTGTAGCTGTCTTTCTAACTGTATTTGATTATCTCTTGCCTCCAAAACTTCTAGGAAAGAAGAAAAAAGAGACTTCCTCTCGTTTGTATTTGTAACGGTCTCTGTCATTGTTGTCATAAATTGAGCTAAAACTGCCTAACTAGATAACAATAATTTGCAAATATTAACAAAACCCTGAACCAGCGATACTATTTTATAAGTAATTGATGAAAATGCAGGAATATGGAAATAAATCGAAATGAACAAAAATTTTAAAACACACAACCTTCCCCTACATCACACAACCAACCAACTGACAACTGACATCTGACATGAAACGAAATGACAAATGGCATTTTGACAATAAAGAATAAAGAATGCCTAAAAAACTAAAAAATCCAGAACTATAGTGCCACAAGGATCTTGTGGCATCTACAGGGGACACCACCAAGCATTAAAGCTAAAATATGAAAATATTATTTCACACGAATAGACGCAGACTAAACCAGATCAATTGAAAAAGAAAAAAAACTTATAGGAAAAGCAAAATTATCCAAAGACATTTCAAGAATATGTGTTTTGAATTTCTTAAAAATTATCAAACGATTCACAAGATATTTGCAATAATAAAGTAAGAAAGAGTGTGAGGAGGGGTGGTGTACAAGTATGAGGACTTTACAGAAAAAAATACTTTACCAAACGATGTTTTTTTTTTCGCTCAAACCCTTTCAAATAATGTTTATTTGTATAAAAAAAATAAATAAATAAAGGAAAGGGCTAACGACACAGGAGCGGAGGTATATGAAATGGTCAGTGCTGCTACGCTAAGTTTCACATTTTTTAGTCTTTGAATCACATAAAATGTGCGGTTCACACTTGGCCAGTACAGTAGATCAGTAGCGTAGTCGTGACAAGAACTTTATTGGCGTTGTCTGTAGAATGCTAGTCTAATAACCTTATCAAATAATCTTAGAGTCGTCAAGACCAGTCAAGACTACAGTTAAAATAGGGGTAGAAACTAATTCTTAACAAACATTAAATTTATATCCCCAAAACCCCTCATGGCGTTTTTTTCTAGTTGTACATGCATCCCGCCATCGGAGTCCTCTTTTTAATTAAGGAACAGTCATAACGGTGTTAAAAACCATCTTATTGAAAAATCGTGAAAACGACGAATAAAATCTTTGACAGATTAAAGACCGCAATCTCAAAAAAAGGCGGTAAATTCATGATACGCAGTACAAATTATACATCTGTTAAATGCAACGTGTGGGTCCTGTTCAGTTGTTGAGTCAAGACTGGACTGGATATTGGAAGGACCGTTTACACTTGCTAGTTTGCCAGTTGCGGAGGAATCGCTGAACTCTGCAAAAAGTAGAATGTTTCACCAGTAATCCGACTGCCATGCTTACTACAAATATGTAATCTATGCCCACTGACGTTCGTTTAGCGTTTACACAGTGCCCATCGATAGACAAGACAGTCCAGTAATTGAGGGCTACAGACCGACTGTACTGGCGAAGTGTGCACTGCTCATAAGATGAGTATCAAAATTCGAAAAGCTGCCAATGACAAGCGAAACCGGCAAGCCGAGTAAATTCTCTACCTTCTGTCAAAAATATTGTATGGTTGAGTCTGTTTTACTGTTTTCAAGATTTTGTTATTCTATTTCAGTATCATATAGTTTGATTGTGATATAAGAATGGCTCGTGAAAGTAGTGCTGGTTTTGATAGGCATATTACAATTTTTTCCCCTGAAGGCAGACTTTATCAAGTCGGTAAGTAGCTCTGAAGTAAAAAACTCTTCGTGTTGACTGATATTATATTGTAAGGTCAGAAATTTAACATAAACCACACGGACCAACTTTATTGATTTAAACTTAACCACGCATGTTTTAAAACTTTTAATATTGCTGACACATCAAATCTTCTATTATAATGGTTTTTATCACATTTTTGGTTAGAAAGGTGCATTCTCCATGCTCAGTTGTACATACAAGTATAATGCTTTGTGATTTTTATTACTTGAAACAAAGAAGTGTTATTTAGTATCTGCTGAAACAAGCAAAGTTAAAGCACTCTTTGTTCTAGAGCTTCAAGACACTTTTGACAACTTTGTAAAATTATATGCCACCAAAAATAAAATTTCTAGCTTAAAATAGGTGTGGCATACACTGTTTGCATGGAAACTGGCAAACTTAGTGGCAGGCATTAAGTCAACTGTATCATAGGAGTGTAATGATTGCAGAGTATGCCCTGAAGGCAATCAACCAGGGTGGATTGACGTCGGTGGCCCTGCGCGGCGCTACAGCGGCCGTGGTGGCGGCGCAACGCAAGGTGCCCGACCGCCTGCTCGACCCCGCCTCCGTCACGCACCTCTTCCCCCTCACTGATCACATTGGCTGTGTCATGACTGGCATGATTGGTATGCCTTTGATTTTATTGGATTCATATCATAATAGGATTTTTATGTTATAGATGTTTAAAATATGTCAACAGTATTAATGTGTTATTTTACTAAAATTATTTGTCAAGGCCCAACAAGATAAATCAACGCCAGAAAAAATCTATAAAAACAAGTACTAGTATTTCAGGAAAATTGGTGCATATTTATGAGTTTAACAGTAAAACGATATAATGGTAACATGGATTGTAATTGTAGAGTAGAGAAGTGGAATAGTTGTTCCATGTGTTTGTAATGTTGGATGGTGCAGCGGACAGCAAGTCGCAGGTGGCGCGCGCGCGCTACGAGGCGGCCAACTGGCAGTACAAGTACGGCTGCGAGATCCCCGCGCACGTGCTGTGCCGCCGCGTCGCCGACATCTCGCAGGTGTACACACAGAACGCGGAGATGCGCCCGCTCGGCTGCAGTCAGTATACTTGTCTATGTCACTCCCAACCCTGCACCTTACACACCGTGCACTACATATTATGTGCAGCACAACTATTTTAACAATATTTATTATTCAGTTAAGTTTAGTTCAAAAAATATATAATCTCAGTTCAAATTCTTTTCGGAATGAGGCATACCAAATTGTTGCTCCTTCAATATAGTTACAATTTGGTATGTTTAGATTAAAGAATAAAGTATTTATATTTGTACTGTCTTGTCGTCAATAATGTTAGGAATTGATTTTAGTGAAAATGCAATAATAATGTGAGCATCATGTTGTGTGTGTGAGACAGGCATGATGCTGATCGCGTACGACCCGGAGACGGGGCCGGCCGTGTACAAGACGGACCCCTCCGGGTACTACTGCTCCTACAAGGCGGTGGCCGCCGGCGCTAAGGCCACAGACGCCAACGCCTACCTCGAGAAGAAGGTAACCCCGCACCTCCATGCCACCGCTCCTCGCAGTCATTGTGAATCATATTAATTACTCTGCCACAAAATCTCAGTAAATACCTAATTATTGTTTTGTTCACTATGTTTATTGCAAAATTTTAAATTTCTATATAGAAAGAGGGGGCAAACAATCAGCTCCTCACCTAGTATGAATGCACCCACAGCTAGGCTATTTATTTGAGGTAGTAGTATTAGTGTGAAGTGTTAAAGCACGTGTGGTGCATGTGGTACATGTGGTGTGTGTGGTGCGCAGCTGAAGAAGCGCGGCGAGCTGGGCGCGGCGGAGGCGGTGCAGCTGGCGGTGGGCTGCCTGGCGCAGGTGCTGGCCGTCGACTTCAAGGCCGCGGACATCGAGATCGGCCTCGTCACCAGCGACAGCCCGCGCTTCCGGTCACACATTTTATATTACCCTTTATGTTCTTCACTACGATTTTACAAATGTGTTAAGTTCGAGTTAAGTAAGAGAGCCCCGAGCGGGGCGGCGAGCCGCTGGCGCACACGCACTAGCCACAACACATATTTTGGGCACGTCAATAATCATAAAAACTCTATAAAAAATATTGAAGTAGATGATTATTCGATGGCACGTCCAAGATTACATTAAATATTTCTTTTAAAAATGAAACTTGGATGGATAAATGTGGGCCTCCCCCGGCCGAGAGTGGCCAAGAGGAAATGTTGTGCGAACTTTCCACAACATTTGAGACAATGCAGTATAACTAATATTAATTAACTTGACTCGTCGCCGATGATATTTTTAATATACCATCGATATTCAGAATGAAAATTTCAAAGGAATATAAAATCTGTTACTTTTCCAACATCAATGTGTATCACGTGTGCAATGCGCTTGTTCCGTTTACCTAAGCACTTAGATAACAAGAATTATTTTTCCGTTTTCGTAACCAGTCAAGTTTTTGTGCTAGGATGGACACACTTTGCTAGTTTCATGCCATCAATCTCATGTTAAAACGATCAGTTATCGATTTCAAGACCAAATAGCGCAATTTAATATCAATCTAATTCACATTTTACGTTTGGTCGCCATTTTTATGTTTTAAGATCCGTAATTCATCTTGCCTATTCCACAGTTTTTAAAATTATTTTTTACCATAAAGCGACAAACGACTAAAGTTGGCTCCGCACGCAGAAATGCAAGTGTCCGGATACAAAACTTTGTCTGAAACTACGCGGCCAATTTCACTGTGGCGGACACCATACACACATTATTTGGATTTTAAAGCAAAAGTAATACTTTACTTAATAAAAACAGTAATAGATAGCCCGGGAAATAAAAAAGTATACGCACCCTATCGGTAACGAAAACGGAAAAATATTTGTTGTTACCTAACTGGTGAGGTAAAGGAAGAAGTGGGGCGAGCAGAGAATGCTGACGTGTACATTTTGCCGCAGCGTGCTGACGGAGGCGGAGATCGACAAGCATCTGACCGCCATCGCAGAGAAGGATTGAACACGCTGGGAATCGTTTATAATCTATGTTAATTATTTTTAATAAATAATACAAACAAAATGTCTCGATTCTTTTATTACATTTACATACGTTCAGAAAGTGTGGCATGCCGCGACAAGGCGGTTACGAATTCGACAACTTTCACATAGATATGTGTAAGTCATAAAGAGGAAAGATTTGTATTTTTATATGTATTGAAATAACTCAAAAACTACTTACTGGACAGATTTCATAAATTCTTTCACCATTAGAAAGAAAATTAATCTGGGCGTAACATAGGCTATATATTATAATGTTGAAGAGCTATTAATAAACAACATTAATCTGGTCCACGGCGTTAAAATGGTCATAAAGATACATTACATTAGCGGGGACCTCTGTTGCAGTGCTCTCTCGCTGTGCCGGCCGACTCACGACTCACGACTCTGCTCCCCTCCCTACCTACTCTATTCTAATAAGAAAAGGTTTTGACATAGCTTGAGACAGGATGGATAAATACCCTCTTTCTACTTTACCTCTACTGACAAGAGGTTAGGTAACGGTATGTTCATGAGCAGCGGTCGTTGCACTATTTTAACAAATTCTGGTGACCGCTTGGTCGTTTGCCACTTTAAGATATAGAAAAAAATAATTTGCGGATATCGTTCTTAAAAATAGAATGCGCCGCCGCTGGACTGGTCGCTAACGTTGCTAATGCACAGTTCACACTTGGCCAGTACAGTTGTTCAGCAGCTATGACTATGACTGGCCA